AGTGAATAAAGGACTCAGAAGGCGGTATGAAGTCAAAATAACCCTGAGCAACACAGAAGCCGCGTTACGGACACTCACGAAAAAAAAACCAAACATACTTTCATTCTTGGCAGCAAGAAAATTGCATGCAATGATTGGGCATACAACTTTGAGAAACCAAAAAATTAAATGATCTATTAGAACTAGAAGTTCATGACCGTCAAATTGACCAATCCCGACTATTCAACCCAGCATTACTTGATTAAGTCTAAAAGAGGGAAGCGAGTAGTGGTTCCGTGGGAAAGATATGGCAGGTACCAACACAATCTAAAAGGAAATACTCGTCTCAAACGTAAAACTCCGAAAGGTGTTTGCGGCAATGAGGCTGATGACGAAAGCCATTACCCGGTTGCCTCTTTATCAGAGACTGGCAGTGGATGTGGTGGTCAAACACCATTGTGGTGAATCGTCCAAGAACCCGACCGTCGCAGCCTCACACACACGACCTCCTTTTCACGGTGTGTCCGACAGTCACGCGGGCTCGCCTGCTCATTCACCCCTCTACATGTACTACCACCGCCCGCGTTATCCCTGTGACCAATCACACTTCTATATCTTTAGCCCACTCAAGTGTAGCAGTCAAAACAACAACACACTTGGTTGAACTGCCTAGTAAACGGTTGTCCCACGTCCTCTCCGGTCTCCTTCATCTTCGCTGGTACTTAGGGTAGCAGAACAGGGTAGCACTGGCCCCGGCGTGGTCTAAGCCAAAATGCTGGGGACTTCAACAGCATTTATCTTGAAAATCAAGTCTACAGGGCAGATTAATCAGAAAAAATAACTGGCTATTTGGTGGGAGCACATGGGGTGTTAACAGTAAACAGACGGTGGCGTTGGTAGCTTCTCTTGTTACTCTAGATTTTGGGTTAATGCGCCGAAGTACGGCAAAATATGGAAATAATGTGAGACTCACGAATTCGCTCCGGTGCACCAAATCTTCCCACTGGACCAGATGGTTGCAACGGTGTATGGCTTTCGCAACCGCATTATGACGTGCTAAATATCACAAAGTACATAAGGCTCGTTATTTTGACCACGATGCATAAGTTAGGAAGGCTTCTGTAATATGTCAAGCGATACTTCAATCAAGAAACCAATAGCGAAAGGCAAGACAATCAGATGAATGCCACATGGCAATAACGCCCGGCAAACTGTATAATGCTATGTTGCTATTTACAGGCCACTATAGACTCGCAAGTACGCAATAAGTTCACCAAGGAAGGATTTCGAGATGGCCTGCGAAAAGATTGTAGCATAGGAATTTACAATTACGAGGTTATTTACGGACTTTAAACTAATGAACGAAGCGCAATTGAAATATTACTGCTATCACATAATTGAGGTTACAAGCAGTGTGAATACGCAAGTGGTGCCAACAATTAAATTGAGTTGGCGATTTGCAAATCGTGTGTGCACGCAGCAAACAGGCGACCAATGGGGCACAACCAAATGCTGTGGCAGCGACTTGCCAGAACAGCATCTGAGCAAAAGCTCACGTAGTGGAACCTCACAGCAACTAATTAGGGTTTGTCATTTGATAACCAAGTTCTCGTTTTAGATTCATTCCAATGTGGACAATGAAAACAATGATGATTTATTCTGGTAAGTGGGCAGCAGGAGCCTAGAAACCAGTAAATCTGCCGGCTACAAGAGGATGCTAATTGCATTAAAGAGGGATGATCAGTGTGAGGTAAATGAAAGTAGAAGCTCATAAAATTCCAAGTGGATTCCTTGATGAATACGAACATGACAACAGTCTCGAGCATCACTTCGGCATTAAATGATTTTACAGAGAGCACGATCCGGTCCAGACTATTCGATAAAAATGCTTACGCAAAAAACAGTACATTACTGGTGGTCGATCCCTTTAAGTACACAAGAAATGAAAGGAAGGGTGTAAAATGCTTACATTTTGCAAGGCTTTGTATTCAACATTAACGCTTGATCTGGCCAACTCCTTTAGACGCAAGTGACACCTCATATTTGCCATACAAACCACGTTTGTGATTGTTAGGGTCATCGAAGGAACTTCATCGGATGAGGGATCTTCATTCTGGCCCTCAGGAGCAACAGGTTCTTTGACTTCAACTGTTGACTGGTCCTCTCCGGTAACAGGGATAGAATCAAGGAAGTCAAGACTATTCAAAGAGTGGCCATTTAAAGGTGATTCGCAAGCTGACGAAGCACCGTACATCTCCTACATGAAAAAAAATGTAGTAAGTGTACGGAAAGAGTTCTGGTAGTGACATATTTCAGAGTAAAGAGGACGGTCATGATGAGAGGCAAATCTGCTAAGAGGTACATGACCGATATTTGATCACCAAAGTGGTCGAAGTGGGAATTATACACAGGTTGTGTAAAAGTTATTCCACAAGTCTATAGGAACAGGAGCAATGAAAACTACCAACGAAATTCGGTGGTCCAGGAATGAATTTCTATGATACACATCAACGGAACTAAGACCTATACCTAAGTACTTGTACCTTTATATACAGTCATTGGCGCGATCACTCGTTAATTAAAAGGTGACAAATTAAACACACATTCGCCATTAATATGATGAATGTGCGCCTTACCAAGGCTACGGGAACCCTAGAGACTAAACTAAAACTTAATTCTGCATTTATGTTCCCATGTGCATCAACGCAACACCCGAAAGACGGACAAACAATGCAAAAACAGCTGTAGCAACCCCATACAAAGTAGGCTCGAAAATAGTGGATAGAAATTTAAAACAAGAGAAACCGTAGCCAATTATAAAAACATTACTACCAAAACCTACAAATTGCTTATTAAATTTTTAGGAGCATTTTTAACTAATTTTATAACATAAAACAATGATTTTTGTTGGGATATCTGTAAATCGAGATGACCACTGAGAAATAATTACGTCTGTAATTTCAAACAGTTAGACTTATTACCTGCAAATTTTAGGCATGATCTGTCACATTGGATCTGGTCTATTTAATGGAATTAAGTTTGCACAAAAGACTTTTAGGTAGCAAAATGTATATTCCCTCTACTGACCTATTTCTAAATTGGCCAAATTCATGTGCGAAACCTACACTGTTTTTTGAACATACCTATTGATCAATATTGCAATATTTCAGAAGACTGTTTGCTGATAATTTAGAAGGCATATTATTTAGATAAAGTCCTTATAAACAAAATTATTTGAATCTGGTTATTGACGTAAGTGTTGCTTCAGTAAGTTATGCTTTAAATGTGCTGGAGTCATTTTCAATTTAGGACTTCATTGTGCTAACTCAGCGTCATCTATCTTATAATTTCACAGTAATTCACATTGGTGGGTTAATTTAATAAAATAATTTCGTCTTCTCTCAAGTTTACGTGTTTAATTAATGGAAAGGTTTGTTTTGAACTCAAAGCATCGTCACATTTCTGCTGATTTGTTTGCTCAAGATAGTTATCAAAAAGGAACAACGGCCCCATGTTAACGTAAACGTTTCCCATAATAATTGAGGCTCCTTCAGTTAATCTAAACTGACCTCAATATGGAAAAAATGTCTTAAAATAAATAAGGTGACATAAGCAAAATAAGCGGAAATGTCTGTATGTTTATTTTTGAAGACTGGCATGTGATAGTGGTGAATTCTAGGGCAATTTGTTCGGTAAATCGTGTCGCTGTGGTTCTAGTGTTTTAAACGCGACATTCCTTTTGAATTATGGCTTTCTTGTTTTTAAAACCATAAGTATTTAAATGATAATTAGTTTGTTTAGCAAGGACTTAAAAGGTATTTTCTTTAAAATCATATTGAGAAATAAATTTCCAATCTCCTATCATTAGAACACGTAGGTTCAATAATGAAGTGTTTATGTTTCGAATGAAACTCTTCAAAAATTTAAGACAAACTTTAGGTTTGTTGTTTGGTCGTTCTAGTTTGCATACATTATTTGTGCGTGAAGTGTTATTATTTTTAAGGCTACCAATTTTTTGAAACCATCAGAGGTCGTTAAGCAAATCTCTTTTCATAAGTTATTATTCTTAATGCCTATTTTATTACACTCTACCAATCTGCGTCACCTTCGCCACAAATCCCTACGCTTAGGAGTTAAGAAAGAACTAATTGTTGTTTAAAAATGTGATGCCTATTCTTCAGATTAGCTTTAGAATCTCCTTTTCATTTTAACAACGGCAGCACTTTAAGAGGGAGAAAGAGAGTTAGCAAAATGCATCGTTTACTGTATCAAATCAGTTTCACTTCGAAATGCACTGACAGATACCTGTGTGAAGCGTAAATTGAAGTTAGAAACTGTTGGCCTACGAGCAATCATAGGTTCTTTGAGCCATTCTTACATTCCCCCGTATAAGTTAAAATTCATCAACAAATCCAATAAGTTGATGTGAGTTTATGGTTTTACAGAATCACATGGACATTAAGGTTGACCAGTGTGTCTGCAAAATGACATTTCTGTGACCATGAAATTTTTAAGGAGTAGGTAGTGCTTCAGTCGGTTGGCATAATTATGTTGCAGGCATGCAGTAATTTCAGAAAGGGTCAAATGTTTCAACAAATGTATTGGCGATTTCAGCACAGCCTTTTGCATTACTGCAATGGTGTCGTTGAAACATTATTCAAATTGTCAACTAGCAGGAAACCCGAGTGTTTAATCTGCTGTTATTAGAAAATTTGTGTACTTCTTAGTGCCAAAAAACCACATATTCTAGATATAGATAAGCTAAATCGTCCTATAAATCCATTATTTAGAATGGAAGTAACACATATCAACAGCCTCAATACAAAACGCGCTGCCTAACGTAATCACACTTGAACCAGTATGGAAGTAGTCATGCTGAAGAAACTCCAGTGCCCTGTCTATAGAATTCTAGTTGCATTTAGCCATACAAAAGACTTTCACACCCCTCCCCAAAATCAAATGACTCAAAAGGCATCAATTTAAAGAAACCGCACTGAAGCAAAATTTCAATTTGATCAAAATTAGTGTTTATGAAAAATCTGCAGTACATTAGAACCACTAATGGGAACAGGGTGGATTAGGAAATGGAATAAGTTGAGACTCCTCCATAAACAGGTACTGCGATCGTTGCCAAGGAGGTCGCAAACGGAGGTTACATTTGTCGTTATGACGCGGTATTTGGCAGTATTGAGTCCATCCAACCGGTATCGCTTCAGGGCAATCTTGAGGAGCAAATTTCTAGTTGAAAATCGAACAAACAAATGAGGTGTTAGCTGCAAATACGATTCCCAATTTTGTCAAGGAGAGGGTGAGGTTGAGTAAATTAAAAGTGTGATATGTTGTGCTAATGTGATAATAAATTGCGGCAGCATTGGTTGCATATGAGAAACAAGCAAACATTGCAGCATCTGAAATGAAACTTAGTTGAACTGCTATGCAACAACACAAGGGTAGTGAGTTAGACGCGGACTTCTTACTAAGGGATCGTATACCCCGGAATTTAGTGACTGTTAATGATTTAAAACGAGTGGCTAGTAAAAACAGGGTTGGTTACAATCCTTACTTTCTCCAAGTGTCCAAGATTTTGCTACTTTTGTGCGGCAACATGACGTAACGCGTGGGTCGGGGCATTGGTCTTGTTATCGGAATCCCCAAAATCGATAATCTGTGTAAAGACACGCATTTTTAATGATGCCTAAGTAAAATGTTCAATAATAAGTTTATCAAAATTGGTCGGAGTGTTACCTTTCAAACATATCGTCGTCTTCAGCCCCCCATCCCCAGAAAAGGTTGGAGAAACCATTCACTCGGAGAAAGTGGTTCACCGGCATGGCGAGTATTCCACCAATCAGGTTTAAGTAAGGCAGACTACCCAAAATGGATGATAAATCAAAAGGACTTCGTACACCTACACTTGCCAATCGACTGTCTCCTTGCTCTTAAGGGATATGGATGAATTACAAGGCGCACTAATTGCAAAATTTCATTATTTTTAAAGCCGTCTTATTTAACACTAAAGAAAATAAGATTGACAAAAAATATTTAATGTTGCTTCTTCACCTAAATCTAGAAAAAGCGGTAATGTAAATCTACATTTAACTTCTCCTAGGTATGCATATTGTGCGTCTAGATTTTACAGCCTTACGTGTAGTTAAATTTGTCGATTTTGACGCTCAGATGTCGAGGGTACGCCGGACAATTGTAGTACACGTCGTCGCCCAAAACAGGTACCAAGTCGACGTCGTGAAATATAATGCAGTCAAAAGGCACACGTTTGCTCGATTCTATTACTGCTGCGTTCATCAGCAAGCCCTTGTTGAATGCGTGCGCATCGGTCTGAAACGGAATCAGTAAATACGCTTTCAACAAAGGGACATTAACGAAGCTTAAGACGAATAAATTGAAGGGGATCCCATCGCCTCACAACTTGTCACGTGTCTTTTTGTAAAAAAAAATGCACAATTTCAAGCAGTGGTACAGCCACCGAAGCTTATTTTGCACAGAAACCGGCCAAGACAATGTGAGCATTTTGACTAAGACAAGTTAGGTGTTGAATCTGAATAGGAGGGACTTTAGTTAAAAAGATTAGACACAAGAGGCCGGGTTTTAGAGTTGAGAAACGGCACAAAACTACTTACTACAGACTGAAGCAACTCTCTTGCAGTTCGGTCGCACACAGGATTAAAACGAACGTTTCAATGTCTGAGGTTAGTATTCAGCGACGAAGCAAAATGATAACTTGTAGAGAATAAAAGAGTGCGGAGGGTTGCAAAATGGCAATGGAAAACCTCAGTACTGGGAACTGATAAAAGATCACAAAATAATGAAAAGCTGGACAATTTCGTAAAACGACCCAGTCCAAATTTAAGTCAACTCCCCCGTCTGATATTGTCATTTTGGGTAGCATTTGTTGTGGTGATTGGAATAACCGGACGTGTCTTGTGTACAAAGCAATAACCAGGAATCGGACTTTTTGATTTGGTCTCCAAATTTTAACACATGGAAGTAGAATTGATTCTGTCTCCTTCCTGAATCTGATGACTTTGTTCAGTGTTCAGTGTGGCATGTGAGGTGGGTATGAATTTGGAATCGATCGTAGCATCGTGACACCACTTTCCCAATCCCTATTTCGACACTCCGCAAAATCACACATCCGCATTAACTCATTTCTTCATATAGCACCATTGAATTATTTTATGTGGATGTCCTGGTTCCTGGACATCTACGTTTTTGTAAAATTAAAACAAGCTAGAGCATTTAACCTAGGGATTACAGTTACTTGTAAGCACGCCAATCAATCAAGATCAGTCGGAATCGTGAAAGAAGTACGATACCTGCTCAACGATTACGATGAAAGTGCACACAGACGCGGATTCCAGCATCGGTGGCAGTTTCTTTAAGAGTTCCATCAACAGCTGCCATCGATCTCTTAGAGGAAAGACTAACAGCACTCGCTGCTTCGGTGGTTTGCAAATGCCTTCACAGAGGTCTCTTGGTAGAGAAGATTCTACAACCAAGCAAGTGTGATGGACATTGAAAGCAATTACAGGGCAACAGGACCTGAGATAAGGCAGTGGGGAGTGACATTGCATACTTCAGATAGCAGCGTGGAAAACCGGGGTGATTTAGACGTGGGAAATAATGTCCGTTTTGATCGTCTAATGACCAGGGCCAAATGTCGGCTCATGTTATTATTATGAAGCTTTTCTGAGGAAAGCTAGGAACCCCGTATTTTGTGACAAGTATTCCACAACAAGAGGTCTCATGAAGTGCGAGCAGGTGGTGAAGATGGGATCTGGCAGTCAGCTACTTTCAACAGAGGCGAGCTTTACGATTTGAGCTCAATAAGTCCGTGTCCATGTGTCCAAAGGGTGAGAATCTTGCTCAGGGCACCTTTTATGGGCAAAGAATGTCATTAGCCTTGGCATAGAAAACGTGACTCTGATTGGTAAATTGCACATTAGATGCAGGCAGGACGTTTTAGCTTACCATTGGTACAAAAAGAGTCTCTGACGCTATTTTGTTGAGAAATGAAGGCTTTAGCAAATTGCTCAAGCGTTACATTGGCGGAATTCGCCAACGCCTGCAACTCCGCCAGAAGCAGTGCCTGGCCGTACTCATTGTGCCTGTGGCTGAAGCCTGTTGGGTAGTTGACAAGTCGAATGCCCGCATAAACGGCCACGAGAAACGCCCCCAGTAGAAGGCTGAACAGGCAGGCCAACAACTTGCGCCTGCAGTGAAGCATAAATGCACGAGATTTGTGCGGTTGGAGCGCGTTGCCCAGCGCGTTGGTGTCCAGCCAGCCCAGGGCTATGATTGGCCGAGGCTTCAACCAATTAAATTGCAATGTCGACACGATGCGAGAAACGAGGCCCAAAAGCGTGAGCATTTTGACTTGAGGTGGTGCTGTTACACCCCGCTGTCGATTTCAGCCCCTTGCGCACCCATAGCTTGCTTCGACTCATTCAACTCTCAAAATTGCGGAAGTTGTAGGACAGTGTTGGCATACCGTGATTTCATTGGCTAGCAGGCCAAATTGCATGCGCGTAATCTTACCCGGGGGTCGGAAATCAAGGTCCAGTAACAAAGCTGCAGCGAATTTTTTTTTCTGACGAGGACGCGTGGACGAGAGAATCGCCAGTTGCCAATAATTTTATGCAAGAACTGCATAAAGTAAGCGACCCGGTGAATTCCGTCTAGGTGAAGTCGACCAGGGAAAAAATGTACTTTTTAATCAGAATTAATGCACTCTCAGTGTGTGGTACTGGTGGTGTTGCTAGAAAGGACAAGCCGAATTGACGCGAAGATTGTTTTGTAGAGCAAATTATTTAAAATCAGATCGTGGCCTATCTCCCTCTCAAGCCCACGCACTCGATTCGGTTAACTTTGGAGCTTATGGCGAATCAGCACCATCACTTGAACTTGCACAAATAATTTCAACCTTTCCGGAAAATTTGGTTACACACAAATTGAGTAATCAATTGAATCACGGAAGGTATGTAGTATTTTGGGAAAAATTGTACGTTCCTCTTTGGGTTTATGGATCACGAAATATTGAAAGTCCATTAAGGCTTTCAGAATGCCATGGAGAACGTGAGGTTATGCGGGAGGAGCATTAATGACACATGCAAGTTGGAGGCGTGTTTGGTGTATCGTTTATCAAATGAAAACAATTTCGCGCAGATTGTTATAAAAATGTCTACTGAAATGTAATTAGTAAAACATTCTGATGAATGATAAAATGTTGGCAATGTACCGAACTGTTTGGAGCAGACATATTTTTGGAGTATATTTAATATATGCGAAAGGCGTTTAGCAGCATTGGGTAAGCTAAATAAATCGATTAGAACAAACCACACACTTAAACCTGTAGTCTTTCTAATATTTCAGCCTTTTAATAATCTCTTGTTCGTTTTCGACATCTTCACTGCGAGTGAATGTTGTAAAAAGGGAAAGACGTGCGGCTGTTTGCGAAATACGCAACAGAAGAGGGCGAATTAGCCAGATCGACCTGTAGCGTAACCTTAACGACGTTGACAGAGAATTAGAATTGTTAGAATTAGGAATCGTGATATGAGGGGTAGGGCATGTTCCACGGTTTCGATAAAATGCTAGTGGGTCCGCAGGAAGAACGCAGTCGGTGGCGCTGTTTACTCCCATGCTGTCCCCATTTCTATGGAATTATTTCGCCCATGCATACACACAATTGTACAAAAGGTAGGTTTCTGTGGTGGTAAAAAGTCATTGGCCGAAATCTGCTGCAACTGGCCAAAATGTACCAAGGTGAGACATTTCGACGACTTTTCTTCCTTAGAGTTAAATGGACAAGACTGAAATGTCGAAAAGAAGTGGTTGGTTTGTTTCAGAAAAACAAATGCCGCCATAATGCGATGTTTGGAAAGTAATTGTAACTGGTTGTGACTAGTTTGATTTCGTAACCAGTGTTTGCTGGGAAGCCAGCAGCCAATGATGACTTTGCGTTTTTCCTCGATTTCCTGTGTCCTTACACACCACTTTTGGTGGTCAAATCGACCGCCATTATGCCATTGGCTTATTCACAATTAAGCGCGCAATCCAATTATTTCATCGTACCAAAGGTTGTTCTAGGCATGGGCAAGTAGACATGTAACTCGGCTTTTGTTCAAGGCGATAGAAGTCTCGTCGTTGACCTAGTTTTGGGAAGTCAGTGACTCCTCGTGGTCCTGTCACTTCGTTCTCTTGTTGGGGAGGTGTGTGAATCCCTCTTCAACATGGAGTCCACGCTCTCCCACCCTCTGGGCTTGTCTTTTGTCACCGGCGGTAACCACGATTACCCTAGTCTTGATGCATTACGACCAGACTTAAGTGCGTGGCCAGGAAATTTGATAGTTCTCCCAGGAGTGGTCAAGATAAATCTGCAGTTTGTGCAGATTAAGTTGAGGCTTTTTTTTCAAATCACCCACACTGCAACAAGACGCCGTCTGGTAAATCACATATGCAGAAAACATTTGTGTGCATTATTTAAGGCGCATTGCAATAAATTCTGTTAACGGCAAGCCCGGACGTAAACACCGGCTTGCTGCCTCGTTGACTGTTAGACCATAGCTTCCTATGGTCTGAACTATTAAGCTAGACTCAGAATTCGCTTCAGCGGGTCTAAACTACCCCATGGTGTGAGAAGGCAACGTGTGCTGTAAGTCTGCGTATTTTGCGTGAGAGTGACCGTATTGGAAGTGAATGAAGGTTTGGCATGCAGCGGATTAACGGATACAAGCCACTACAAAGGCACAAACCAACCATGTGGACACTATAATGACCTGCAGCGGATTAAAAGCGATCGCGCCTCAGTGAACCCTGCTTCCTGACCTGACGGTGTCGATGACTCATCCCCTTTCCATTGGTTACTGTTATCAGACGCCTGTCATCCGCTAACTCATCCACACACACTTGGCTGGCGTGACGCTAATAAACGGTCGCGTCCTGTGTCGCCCCTCTTCTCACCATTTTCGGGTTCTTACGGCCTGTTAACTAGAGGGTTTTAAGGCAGGCGGTCCGCGCTGCCCCACCATCTGGGCATCAGCGGGTCTAACCAACCCCCTTGTGTGAGAAAGCAACATGTATGACTGCGCATTTTGCGTGGGAGGAAGGTAGTGGTGGTGGTGGAGTGACCGCACCGGAAGTGCAAGAAGGTTTGGCCCTCAACAGGGACGTGTCAGGTTTCTGAGATTTAAATCCATCCTTCACTTATGAATATGTGGCCAACTTCGGCCTTTGGATTTTTTCTATGCATAGAATTCCAAGCGCAGGTTATTTATTTACATTCGCTGCCTTAATTTACCATCTTCATCCAAAGCATAACACAACTTTTTTTAGCAAATCAACAAAAATCTGATCAAGAGTCGTCTTTTAAATCCCCATCTCTTCGCTCCATGCCAGTT